TTGGACTTTTGATTCTTTTCAATGATTGCTACTTTCTCAAATCCTTTTTATCTTTCTTTATACTTTGATTTTTAAATTTTATCCTCCTTTTCACTCTCTGTTTCTCTTAAGGCATTATTTGTTGTATTTAGTCACTCTCGTTTCCTTCTAGTTTAGTCTTCATTTCAGAAATGAATTTTTACTCTATTGTTGATAATGGTCACTTTGTTGTGCTGTCAAATATTGTTCATTCTATGTAACTATATTTTTCTACCCATTAACCATCCCACTTTATCCTCCCCTCCCTGCTACCCTTTCCAGCCTCTGGTAACCATTATTTTACTCTCTAGCTCCATGAGATCAATTGTCTTTAATATTTAGCTCCCACATGAGTGAGAAAATGCAAGATTTGTCTTTCTGTGCTTGGCTTATTTCACTTAACATTATCTTCTCCTGGTCTATCCATGTTGTTGCAAATGGCAGATTTTCGTTCATTTTTGTGGCTATATAATATTCCATGGGTATATGTGCCATGATTTCTTTATCCATTCATCCATTAATGGACACTTAGGTTGATTCTAAGTCTTGGCTATTGTGAATAGTGCTGCAATAAACATGAGAGTGCAGATATCTTTTTGATATACCAAATTCCCCTCCTTTGGATATATACCCAGCAGTGGGATTGCTGGGTCAAATGGTAGTTCTATTTTCAATTTTTTGAGAAATCTCCGTGCTTTTTCCATAGTGGTTGCACTAATTTATATTCCCACCAACAGTGTATGAGAGTTCCCCCTCTCCACATCCTCGCCAGCATTCATTATTTAATGTCTTTTTGATAAAAGCCATTTTAACTGGGGTGAGATGATACTTCATTGTAGTTTAGACTTGATTTTCTCTAACGACTAATGATGTTCAGCATTTTTTCATATACCTGTTGGCCATTTGCATGTCTTCTATTGAGAAATATCTTTTCAGATCCTGTGCCTATTTTTTAATCAGATTATCTGATTTTTTTCCTATTGAGTTATTAGAGTTTTTAATGTATTCTAGTTATTAATTCCTTGTCAGATGTGTAGTTTGCAAATATTTTTTCCCATTCTGTGGGTTGTCTCTTCACTTTGTTGATTGTTTCCTTTGCTGTGCAGAAGCTTTTTAGCTCGATGTGATCCCATTTGTCCAATTTTGCTTTGGTTGCCTGTGCTTTGGGAATGTTACTGAAGAAGTCCTTGCCCAGATCAATGTTCTGAAGCATTTCTGCAATGTTTTCTTCTAGTAGTTTCATAGCTTCAGGTCTTAGATTTAAGTCTTTATCCATTTTGATTTGATTTTTCTGTATGGCAAGAGAAAAGGGTCTAGTTTATTCTTCTGCATATGGATATCCAGTTTTCCCAGCACCACTTATTGAAGAGACCGTCCTTCCCACTGTATGTTCTTGGCACCTTTGTTGAAGATAAGCTCACTATAGATGTGTTGATTTATTTCTGGGTTCTCTATTCTGTTCCCTTGGTCTGTGTGTTTTTATGCTAATGCCATGATGTTTTGGTTACTATAGCTCTGTAGTATAATTTGAAGTCAGGTAATGTGATTCCTCCAGTTTTGTTCTTTTTGCTCAGGATGGCTTTGGCTACTCTGGGTCTTTGTGGTTCCGTATAAATATTTTTTCTATTTCTTTGAAGAAGGTCATTGGTATTTTTTTTCTTTTAATTTCAGTGTATTACAGGGGGTTAGGTTACATGTCATTGGTATTTTGATGAGGATTGCATTAAATCTGTAGATTGCTTTGGATAGTATGGACATTTTAACAACATTGATTCTTCTAATCCATAAGCATGGAATATCTTTCCATTTTTTTGTGTCCTCTTCAATTTCTTTCATTGGTGTTTTATAGTTTTTGTTACAGAGATCTTTCACTTTCTTTGGTTAAGTTTGTTCCTAGGTATTTTATTTTATTTGTAGCTATTGTTCTATGTCATTTTCTTAATGTCTTTTAGCTCATCATGGAATAGTAAGTTAGGATTTTTTTGTTGTTCCAAGCATATCTTTCTTAAGTGCGTCTAGCTAGATACATAGTGTTTTCAATTTCACTTAACTCCTCCCTCTTTTGTTATTTTTGTGAAGTATTCAGAAATACAGCAGCTGCTTTCCAAGATTTCCACGCTCCCTAACCCTTCCTCACTTTTTTGGGCCCTTCTCCTTCCTTTGTCACTGTTTTCCTTGTGCTGTTCAAGTTTGTATGGCCTTGTTCTAAAAGGGAATTGGGCTATTAAGTTTAGAGTTTCTGGAGACTACACTGCTCCATCCCCTTTAGACCTTAATGCAGCCCTCAACTGTATGAAAGTGGGCACGTCTCCCTCGCCACCCCCTGCTTTAGCTGTTATCTTCCAGTTAACTGTGGAGGAAAATGCTCACATTTTCCAGTGGATACCTTTGGCTAAATGGAGTTTCTCCAGTTTTCAGGTCTATCAGATGTCCCCTTTCATCCCTACTGCTGTTTCCCTGTATGGAGGTGCTGTAGCTCTTGGTCGTTAGCCCCATTGCTTGTATTTGGGAGTTCTTGGGAATATCTTGCCACATAATTTTGTTGTAAATTTTGTCTGTGGGTTTTTGGCTTTGCCTATCTAGTTGTGCTTTATATTTTTATATGAGGATTCAAAAAGATCCAGAAACTCTACTGCCACCAGCACAGCCAACTTCTAGGAATCCAGTGAACATCTTTAAAGCCAGATCTTCTTGCACATCTTTAACTAGTTTGGATGGGGATCATTGTCATGGAAAAAAAAAGGCAGGGCTTAGACCTCAAGCTAAAATCAGATTGTTGTGGTTTGTGTTCTTCCTTGACAAAAACTACAGAGAGATTTTTTGGCACTGATATCATGAACTGGTTCTGTCAGTCAGTATTTTTGCTCTTCTTTTTCTAGGTAGGATCCATGCCAAAAGAGCTTCTGGGGGAAAGCTCATCTTCTATGACCTTCGAGGAGAAGGCCTCAAGTTGCAAGTCATGGCCAATTCCAGGTATACTGAAATATCCAGTTACAGACTTTTCTAGGCTGGCTTTGACACAGGAACAGAGGCCGATGTGGTATTACTTTCCCATTGGTATTTCAAGTTAGAGTAAGAGGGAATGCGACATGGTTGGGTATGGCTGAGAAGAAGATTAAAGACCATCTAGTCACCTGGAAAGTAATGACTGCTGTCAAGTTGTATGGCGGTAAAATAAAAGATAGTACTTTTTTTTAACAGTTGCCCCTGAATCTGAGATTCTTCTTGGGTCCACATTAACTACGTACTAAAAATTGAGTGAGGGTTCCAGAGTAAAGCAGTGTTCAATATTAATTTGAACTAGTGTATCCTGAATTGCATTTCCTTTTCATTCAGAAATTATAAATCCGAAGAAGAATTTACTCATATCAATAACAAACTTCGTCGGGGAGACATAATTGGAGTTCAGGGGAATCCTGGGAAAACCAAGAAGGGTGAGCTGAGCATCATTCCCTACGAGATCACACTGCTGTCTCCTTGCTTGCATATGTTACCTCATCTTCACTTTGGCCTCAAAGATAAGGTAAGCTCTCGTGGCCCTTAGCTGTGGCACAAAGATGCATTTCATTTGTTCTATCATATCGCCAAATCAAAGATATCAGTGATTTCTAACTGCTGCTTTTGGTTTAGGAAACCAGGTATCGTCAGAGATACTTGGACTTGATCCTGAATGACTTTGTGAGGCAGAAATTTATCATCCGCTCTAAGATCATCACATATATAAGAAGTTTCTTGGATGAGCTGGGATTCCTAGAGGTAAGGAAGAGTTTCTGAACTGACATGATGAGCTACCTTGTGCTTGCCTCTTACTATCCCTTCCTTCCTTTTCCCAGGCATGTCCTGTGTCAGTATCCTTCAGGCTTAATGAGAATGTCCCCTTTATTCCTAGTATCTTTGTTCTACCTTGTTTATTTAGTGCCCTGATTAGGAAGGCAGGACCCGACTTCCAAGATAATGGATAAGATGTAGGGCCATCCACATGCTAATAATGCCATGTTCAATATGTTATCAAATCATTTTTCTTTGTTATAGCATGAAAAAATGTTTTTTAATTATATGAGAAAGGCAAGTGCAAGTACTATAAAACAAATTCCAGTAATAAGGACATGAATAGAAGAACTGAAAGTACCCTTTCGGTTCTCCCAACTAACTGCCCTCCCCAAACTTGAGTTTGATATGTGTACTTCCTCATCATTTACTATGCATATATACATACGTGCACGTGCATGTTGCAGACTAAGTACATGTGTGTAAATGGAAGGGTTTTTTGCTTTAAATATAAATGAGGTCACTGTATGTATTATTATAGACCTGTTTTTTTTCCCCACTTAACATATTCTGGAGTCCTTTCTATGAGATAGATAGATAGATACATAGATAGAGCCCTTTCTATGAGATAGATGGAAAGAAAGAGAGGAGAGAAAGAAGGAAAGATAGATAGAAATACAGGTATATGTAGATATATATTCCTTCTTAATGCTGCATAATTTGTTTCCCTTATTTGTAGTTTAGATTGTTTCTGATTTTCTTCTATAATATTACAGTGAACATCTTTATGCACATGTGCAGGTGTTTCTGTAGGATGAATTTCTAGATAAAGAATAACCAAGTCAAAAGATATAAGCAGTTAAATTTTTAATAAATACTGCAAATTGGACTCAAGAAACGTTGTATCCATATAGATTCCCATTTACGGCTTATGAAAGTTTATGGTACTACGTTAATGGTATTTGGTATCAACAGAAGTTGAGACACTGTTTTAGGAAAATCAAGCTATCCTTTTTTGTCAAGCACTTGCACATTACTACTGAACTTATCATTTACTTAGGGATATAACAGGTTTAAACCATATTAGATACAAAGCATGAGCTGTCCCCAAGGCTTCTGGTTGTCTGAGGACTAAATGTTTATCTCTGTGTTTTTTAGATTGAAACTCCCATGATGAACATCATCCCAGGGGGAGCTATGGCCAAGCCTTTCATCACTTATCACAATGAGCTGGACATGAACTTATATATGAGAATTGCTCCAGAACTCTACCATAAGGTAGTCAATAATAAATCACCCCATTCCCTTAAAGAGGCAGAAGGCTGGAAAACCATTGGCTAGACAGGTACAATCAGAAATAAGAGAAACAGTGAAGGTAAACAGCCTAGAGAGTATTCTAATTTGTCAGGTTTGTGAATTTCTGGAATTCTCTATAAGATCAATAGAGCACAGCAGGGCAGAAAGCTGGGTGTATAGGTACTCCAAACCTACTTTGGTTCCCCTAAAATTTTTCAGGTTTTAGTCTTCCTTGGATTAGATCTGATTTTAGTCTTTTGTAGAAAAGAGCCTAATCTCTCTCTGGAAGTTTTAAATAAATATCTTGAAATCGCTATAAAAATGTATTTTCAAATTACTAAAATAAATATTGAAGACTGTCATTCAAGATTCTTAGTTGTAGACAACAGAACCTGTTATATATAAGCAAAAGAAAAAAATATTGAGCTATATAAGGAAGCTCACAATCTCCAGGACGATGAGAGAATCAGGCATGGAGACCACACAACTAGGAATGATTCTGAATCATCACTGGGCTGTTCTCATGGGGAATCCAATAAACTATCTTTTTTTTTTTTTTTTTTTTGAGACAGAATCTCACTCTTTTTGCCTGGGCTAGAGTGCCGTGGCGTCAGCCTAGCTCACAGCAACCTCAAACTCCTGGGCTCAAACGATCCTTCTGCCTCAGCCTCCCGAGTAGCTGGGACTACAGGCATGCGCCACCATGCCCGGCTAATTTTTTTCTATATGGTTTTAGTTGTCCGATTAATTTCTTTCTATTTTTAGTAGAGACGGGGTCTCGCTCTTGCTCAGGCTGGTCTCAAACTCCTGAGCTCAAACAATCCGCCCACCTCGGCCTCCCAGAGTGCTAGGATTACAGGCGTGAGCCACCACGCCCGGCCTCAGTAAACTATCTTAAAGAGAGCAGGGTAGTGGGCATTTTTAGTAGAAACCTAAGAGCATGCCTAAGCTGTGAAAACCAAGTTATGGCTTTTGTAGACAGGAGCTTTCCAGAGTTATTAAGACAAGATTAGCCGCCATGACCAAGCCATATGCTGTTTGTTAGATGCTAGTGGTTGGTGGCCTTGACCGGGTTTATGAAATTGGACGCCAGTTCCGGAATGAAGGAATTGATTTGACTCACAATCCCGAGTTCACTACCTGTGAGTTCTACATGGCCTATGCAGACTATCACGATCTCATGGAAATCACGGAGAAGTTGGTTTCAGGTGACTCCTGCTCTCTTTCACACTTGTCTGGGGGATGGTGTGCTGCTTTCAGAGGAGGGCTTCCTGGGCTTCATCCTCTTTAAATGGCAAGTTTCTCTTCCAGGGATGGTGAAGCATATTACAGGTAGTTACAAGGTCACCTACCACCCAGATGGGCCGGAGCGTCAAGCCTACGTTATCGACTTCACCCCACCCTTCCGGAGAATTAGCATGGTAGAAGAGCTTGAGAAAGTCATGGGGGTGAAGCTGCCAGAAACTGACCTTTTTGAAACTGAAGGTAAAGTGACACACTACTGCATTTTATGGCCCTCCTTCCTGTTTAGCTCTGAATTTGATTGGGTCAGAGCTAGAATTTCCCACACTGTTCTCTTTATATACATTTTTACTGTGCTAGTGTGATGTCTTCTGTCCTAACTTGTACATTTGTATCGCAGAAACTCGCAGAATTCTTGATGATATCTGTGTGGCAAAAGCTGTTGAATGCCCTCCCCCCCGAACCACAGCTAGGCTCCTTGATAAGGTGAGAGGCCATGCCCTTCTCTGTGTCCTCATCTAGTGTTGGCCAGGCCCTACTCTCTGGGAAAGTGAACCCCATTGAGGAGAATTCATTTCTACAGCTTCACAGGGAAACCCTAAAGAGAGGAACAAGAGAACTAACAAACTGAGCTCTGTGCAAAATAGTTAGTGTTATCTCAGTTTATCCTTTCCAGCCTTTGAAAAGCTATAGGATAAATCCATCTCAGTGGGAGCTGTCTCTATACTGGGATGACCAAAATATTTTCAGAAGTGATTTCTAACTCTGCTTTGCTTTCTTATTAAGCTTGTTGGCGAGTTCCTGGAAGTGACTTGCATCAATCCTACATTCATCTGTGATCACCCGCAGATAATGAGCCCTCTGGCTAAACAGTAAGATGAAGCGTGCTGTTTCAGTTACCTATTCAGTTACCCCAAAACTTAGTGATGTTAAACGACAATTTATTTTCAAGATTTTGTGGGTTGAGTGGGTGGTCTTTGTCCTGGCTGGTATTGGCTAGAATAACTCAAGTGGCTTATTTCAACTGGGGATTCTGCCAGGGCACTTTGGTTCTCCTCCACATGAAATCTTGTCCTCCAGAGCCTCTTCCTGTGGCCTGTCTGGGAGCATAGCCTGGTCTTCCTTTCAGCATGGCAGTTGGATTCTAAGGGGAAGTATTCTGAAAGAACAAACCTCGATGTGCAGACACGTGTGAAGACTCCGCTGATATCCCATCAGCCAGACGAAGTCACATTGCCAGCTCAGAGTCCATGTGGGAGGGACTGCAGAAGGGCTTAGATGCAGGAGGTGTGCTTCAGTGTAACAGTCTGCCACACTGGCTTGTTAGGAAGATAATTAAATCTTCCTGGGCTCTCACCCTCCTCACTATTGTACCAAATTACTTGGCGCTGAGAATGCATGCAGGCCTCAGGTTGCAACCAGTAATGCTTTTGAGTCCACTAGAATTTAAGGATTCTTGTATCAGATGTTTGATTATTAAGGGCCTGTATATTCAGCCTCCTCTTTGGTCTCCTGTCCCCAGTCACCGCTCTAAAAAGGGTCTGACTGAGCGCTTTGAGCTATTTGTCATGAAGAAAGAAATATGCAATGCCTACACTGAGCTGAATGATCCTGTGCGGCAGCGGCAGCTTTTTGAAGAACAGGCCAAGGTGAGGAAGGAGAGCGTGAGCAAAAGCACCTGTTTCATCAGTGCCAACTCACCAAGAAATAGCAGCCTTAACCCTGGTCCATGTCAATGTATACGTTCTTGGTGACTTCAGAAATGAAGGATAAAGCCATAGGCTAGAGGAAATCACATTTCAATATGTAGACTTTGACTGGTTTTCACGCTGTAATACATAAGAGGGACTTAGTTATGATTATTTGTATGAGGAGCATGACACTTGTCTTGAAATACATTTGCCTGACAACATTATTTTTCTTAGATTGTACATTTATTGAAGTGGCTTGGGATGAGAGGCAGATAAAGATGAATGAAGAAGACAAAGCCCCACAGGTGGTCTGCCCCTATCACTGCCACTGATGGGTGGTTTCAGGAAATGGGACAGAGATCTTGGGAATCCTCACAGAGGCTCTGCGAATTAGTCTCACTAGAGTCCCAGAACCCCAAGCAGTGGAACTGTTTTATTTCAGAGAAATTCGTGTGCGTTCTGAGATAGATTCTATCAGTCTTGACCTCCAGGTCTCTGAAAGAAATAGCTCCATCTTGGAGTTGCTGGCAATTCCCAGCAAATTCTGAGTATCAGGAGCACGTTTTAATGTGTTTGCTCAGATGCTGAGATGTCCTGGAAGAATGTCACCTTTTGGTTCCCTTTCCTCTTCTAGGCCAAGGCTGCTGGTGATGATGAAGCCATGTTCATAGATGAAAACTTCTGTACCGCCCTGGAGTATGGGCTGCCCCCCACAGCTGGCTGGGGCATGGGCATCGACCGTGTCACCATGTTTCTCACAGACTCCAATAACATCAAGGTACATAGCAGCGCCCTCAGCGCACACTACCCTGAAGAAGCCCCATTGTGTCCCAGGCAGGGCCCGGTGGGCCTGGAGAATAAAATAAAGGGGGGGCTTTGGGCTGGGAGAAGGAACATGCCATTCCACAGGAATAGGGGCAGAGCATCTGACCTTACAGGATTTTGGTTTTTTATCTGACCTGAGGCAGGAGGAATACTAAATGTGTGCTTTTCTTGAGGACCCAGGGAAATGCTAAGCCCTCTCCGTGCATTATCTCATTTAACGTAAGTCAGCCCTAGGAGGTGTGGAAACTGTTGTTATCCCATATTTGTAGATGAGGAAATGCAATTTTAATAGAACCTTTTCAACCTTTTGACATGATGCTCTAGACAGTGCTATACATTTGTTCTTTTCCATCCTCTGTAACTGAGAGGGACTAAGCTGAAATGAAAGAACAGATCTGTCTTTTTACCTGGGGTATACAGATCTCTGGATTTTAGTAGTAATAATAGAGGCAAAAGGAATGTGTGGATAGCTGTGGAAAAATGTTCAAGGCGCTTCTTAGCTTCACAATATGTTTTTATCTCCTGTAGGAAGTACTTTTGTTTCCTGCCATGAAACCTGAAGACAAGAAGGAGAATACAGCAACCACTGATACACCAGAAAGCACAACAGTTGGCACTTCTGTCTAGAAAATAATCATAGCAAGTCATATGAACAGTCATCTTTGCATTTCTGCAAAAAGACGAAGGTCGGCAAGGGAATTCTTGTATTGGCTATCCATTTGACTACCACTGTTCAGCCACCTGAAGAGAAAAGAGGAATTAAGAATTTCTTTTCACTCCTTGTTACCTAATAAACTGTCTTTTCTCTGTACCTTTGGAATATCACCTTTTTCCCCAAATTGCTGGCCTAATGAATGTTGAGGATTCTACCATCTTAATTCATTCAACAAATTTATATTATTAATGTCTACTCTGTGCCAGACATAGTTCTAAGGGATTGGGGACACAGCAGTGAACAAAAACCAAGTCCCTGCTTTCTTAGAACTTACATTCTTTCTTTGGGGTGAGGATGAAAAGTAGACAAATAAGAAACAAGTAAACCCAAATTCTTTCTGTGATGATACATAAGAAGAAAAATGGAGCAGGGTAAGGGGACAGGTGCTATTTTAGAGGTAGAGGAGTCAGTGCTATTTTAAATATGGTGATCAGGAAGACCTCTGCTAGGTGGTATTTAAGTAAAGGTCTGGAGATAGTAATCTGAGAGATCTGCAGGAAAGGGCAATCCGGACTAGAGGACTGAGTTTTTAAGGAGTGGCAGAGCATCCAGTATGACCAGAGAGGTTAGTGAGAGGCCAGATCACACGGGCCCCTGAAAGCCACGTGGAAGAGTGTATATTTTATGAGGGAGATGCGAAGCTGCAGGAGGGTTTTGAGCCGAGGAGTGTTTTTCAGGGATTATTCTAGTTCACCTGTGGTGGGCAAGAGTGAAGCGGAGACCAGTTGGGCTGTCGCCATGGGCCTAGGAGAGATGATGGCAGGGACTTGAGTGGTAGCAGTGGAAATGGTTACAAGTGGACTTTGCCTTGTTCCTGAGGGCAACAGAACTTGTTGATGGAATATGGGTTGTGAGAAAAAAATGCCAAAAATGATTTCAAGGATTTGGGCCTGAACAACTAGAAAAGAATTGCCATTTACTGAGATGGAAAAAAGGAAGTACAGATTTGAGATGGAAGGTTCGAAGTTTGGTTTTGGGCATATTAAATTTGACATACCTGTTCGACAGCCAGATGGAAATAGTAGAATGTTGAATAGTGAGTCTGAAGTTTACTCATTATTTTCAGTTCAATTCAGCAGGGCTAAGAATGTGACAACAGTGTGGCTAAGGGCTTGCTGTTAAAGTGGAGCTCCTACTCCCAGACACAGGGAGACAGCTGGGAAGACCTTTTTTCAGATGATTCACATGACAAAGGATATGTCTTTTGCACCTCAGCAAAACCTCTGCAGGCATCCAGTTTGGGAGCTGCCAGTGTACTTTCACAGAGCAGGTTTCTGCTTCCATCGCTGGTGAAGCAATCTAAGCGTTCAGAAATCTAACTGCAAACTTCAGGGAATACTGAGCATCTCCACCCTTGCTGGTGTTTAAGCAGTAGATGACCAGGTGGTATTTCAGAAGAAACACTTCCATATGGCACATTCTCAGCACGGTGGTATTAACTGAAATGGAGGTAAGTATCTCAGCAAAGGAGAGGGTGAAGGGTCAAGACCAGGTAAGGGACTGGACTTCAGGCAACTCTATCAATGCAGACCATTGGAAAGGCCTACAAGGGTTGATGGGTCATGAATGACTAGTGTTTAGTAGATGGCTGGAGGCAGAAGCCAGCTGTCTGACCATAAGGAGGCTGGGGATAAAAAAGAACTGCAGCAACGGTTGGCAACTTGTATGTAGGGGTTGGCAGGAAATATGACAGTATGTAAGCTAGAAGGGACAGAAGGATCATAAAGTCCTCATTACCTTCTCAAATGGTTGAAGGCTCGTATTTAACAAATCATCCCCCCCAAATTGTATAAAATGGCAGCTCTGATAAATGCTTTGAAAGGGGGGGGTTCCATGGGGTATTGAGAATTTTTTTTTTTTTGAGGTTTAGACAAATTTATTGAAACTTAACAGGGTGTTAGAGAAAAATTCTGTGGTTAACATTTTGCCACTACCTTGAATGTGTAATTTAAAATCATAAATATATATTTCATAAGTAAGCCTTTGGCCAATAAAAGGAATCATTTAGCACATTTGTTAAAGATCAATAAGAAATGTATTTAAAACATCAAAAAAATCAAGATCAAGCACTGAATTAAACAGCAGCAACCCCCACTAATCCAGGTTCCCATAGTGCTGAAAGTAGAGGTTTCTGTGCAGAGCTAGTCATTTATTACAGTAATCAGAAGAGACGGGGACTGGCACACCTATTGGAGGTGGTGGCAGAGCTGGCAGGACAGGAGAGCTGGCCTAGTCAGATGAGCATGTCCCAGAGACAGCAGCAACACAGAGCAGTCCAGCAGGCTGTAAGGCAGGTGGATGGTCCCAGGTCGTCTCTTTGGTCTTCCACCAGATACACTGTGGTTTTAGGAGGCTCTGGAGGTCCACCCTGCCAGCCATACTGTGGGTATCCTTGGTCAGGGTACCCCTGAGGAGGTGGGTAGGGCCCCCCATAGGTCCTGGACCCACTGGTGGTTGTGGAGAAGGTGAGTATGGGGGCCGTTGGACCAGGGCCAGGATACGGTGGAGGGTTCTCTTGGTTCATCAGGGACCTGCCAAGTGCACCTCTCCTCTCCACGAACCAGCTGGGTAGTGAGGTAAGGAACTGAGGAGACTGCACTACACTCACCGCACCTGCCGAGAAATTATTTTATTTATTTTTTTTGAGACAGAGTCTCACTCTGTTGCCAGGGCTACAGTGCTGTGGTGTCAGCCTAGCTCACAACAACCTAAAACTCCTGGGCTGAAGCAATCCTACTGCCTCAGCCTCCCGAGTAGCCGGGACTACAGGCATGTGCCACCATGGCCAGCTAATTATATTTTTAGTTGTCCAGCTATTTTTTTTATGAAGACGGGGTCTCTCTCTTGCTCAGGCTGGTCTTGAACTCCTGAGCTTAAACGATCTGCCCGCCTCTGCCTCCCAGAGTGCTAGGATTACAGGTGTGAGCCACCACACCCGGCCAGAGAAATTAATACAATGGACTGCCTTAGGGAAGATTTCCCTGAGAACATTAGCTCTATAAAGGTGGGGAGGGCTTTCCATGGTATGGCAACAAGTGCAAAGGCCCTGTGATAGGAAGGGGAATGGAGGCCAGTGACACTAGATAGAGAACAGAAACTCAAAGAAATATGTCACAAGGTGAGGCAAGAAAGGGCTGATGTAGTGTGAGCCCTACTATGGGATTCTGTCTGTATTAATAAGAGTGCTGGGAAGCCACTGAAGTATTTAAGCAATGGGGTGATACGACGTTTGTGGTTGAAAAGATCAGTCTGGCAGCTCTGTGGAAAATGAATTGGAGTTAGGGAAGAAAAAGTGAAAGTTCTGAGATTATCAATCCAACAGGGAGATAACAATGGCTTGCACTAGATTATTGTCATGGAAGTGAAGTGGGTGGATTCAGGAAACAGGAAGTAAGATCAATTGGATTTAGTAACAGAGTGTAGCGTGGGGATTAAGGGAAGGGGAATAACAAGGAGGGTGACTCACTTTTTAGTTTATTCAATGAGATAGGTGGTAATACCAGTCCTTGAGATGAAGACCCATAGAAGATGATCCCCATCCCACTCCCGCCAGGATCTGTGTTTATTCAAAGACAGAAGTAGGAGTCAGTTGCAGATTAAAGATGCTGGAGAGGAATGTGGAGCAGGGTCCTTAGCCATGGAGGAGGGCTGTGGCCATTTTCCTTGGAACTAGAGGAAAGGAGGGGGTCAAGAAAATTGCACTGCTGTCTCCTCTAACTTTTGAGGGGTAACAGGAAGAAAAGTGAATTCTCTCATCTTTAGCAATTGAGGCATACGCTTGACAAGTAAAGGTTCCTGAACTATCCGGACAGCTATCCTACCTATTTCTGGCAAACCGAAGGCTTTAAACCCGAGCGGTCCACTACAGTAGCCACTTTAGCTACAGTTGGCTATTGAGCACTTGAGATGTCCGAATAGAGACGTATTGTAAATGTTAAAATACACACCAGATTTAGTACGAAAGACAGGGTAACATATCTCAATTTTTTAAAAAAAATATTGACTCCCTGTTGAAACGGTACTATTTTGGATATAAGGGTGATTTGAAACATGATTAAGATTAATTTTACCTATTTGACTTTTTAAATGTAGCAACTAGAAAATTTTAAATTACATATATGGTTTGAATTATATTTCTATTGAATAGCGCTGTTTTAGACAGAAATTCAGACTAGGATTCCAAGATACATCATTCTATTTGAAGCCATATCTAATCCGACAGGCTGCTCCCACCTACCTGTTTCTCGCGTCGCTAAGCACGCCGCCCGAGGCTGCGGGACTCCAAGCGCAGGTATCGCGGCCGGGCTCCGCGCCCTAAGGACTACAAGGGCCAGCGTGCATTGCGCGCCCTGGGCCGGAACCTGGGAGGAGCTGTCGCTTTGTGACGTCACGTCCGCCTCGGAACCCGCGTTCAGTTTCCTCTCCGAGAGGCGCGCGTCGCAGAGGCGGGAGTGGAGTGTCGGCTAGGTGTTGGGGTGGCGCGGCCAGGGGCACCCCTGGGTTAGGTGCCTCGGGTCTGACTTTGCAGAATCGGCTTTGCGTGGGAAGAGGACCGTGTCTTCCCGTACGCGTGTCACGTGGGAAAGTGCCGCTCCACGCCTGGAAATGTCAACAGCCGCCGCGTGAAGAGCTCTTGCGGCGGGCGAGCACGGTGCGGGCGGCCTCGCAGCGGCAAGCCGAATGACCCAGTGAGTCAGCCGCTCACGTTGTCCCTACTCCACGGCCTCAGTGTCTTCCCTAGCGCCTCCCGCGCTGTAACTGATGGAATCGGGACCCCACCCCAGGCCGAGAAGGGGCACTGCTTTCGAAAATATTTAGGAAGGGGGTCAAATAAAGCCGGATTCCGCTACTCTGAGCATCCCTAAAGCCTTTTCTCTCTCGATAGCTGACTTAACTTTTTCTTTAAAAGAAAGTGGGTTCTTCAGCTTGTTGCCACTGTTATAAGCTGTGGTCTTGTGGGCACAGAGATGCCTGTTTAACTGTTATTTCATATGAAGTTCTTCAAGAAATTTTTCAAGATCTAGGAGCGGGTGAAGGCTTGAATTATAAAGGACCCAGTGTATTAAAACATTCATTTCAACAACTGTGCTTGCTCAGCTACTTGAAAGGAGATGATATCGTTCTGGGCTGCTTCCTCTTAGGGAGTCATCGTTTCTTCTGGCAAGTTTTATCCTCCTTAGCAATTATAGTTTGTGATATGCACCTTTGGTTTAATTTCAGGTTGATGGCAGGGTATCTGCCTTCATAAAATATGCCTTGTGATGCCTCTCTGGATATGAGAGGTGAATCTTTCGAACAACGATTCTGGGATCTCCCATGCTTTACTTTGTTCCGAGTGATAACAAGATTTCTGCTGGTTCTCTGACTTTAAAGTCACAGTTTTTGTCAGTTCCTGGCAGATTTTTGTTTTAAATCACTATGGTCTGATTAACCATTACCATTTACTGTATTAGCAGGCCTACACATTGTAGTGCAGGGGGGGCTCGTTGTAGAAATATTTTTCAGAGGCTACATGAGTTGGGGCTTAGGAAAGCCTTTTTGTTTTTTGGTTTTGTTCTACAATGCTTAGCTATGTCCATCACCATATGATCCCATCTACTAAGAAGCTTTTCATATAATTGAGTCCAAATGAGGTCGGGATGTATCTAGTGAGCATTCATACAGCCAAGAATGAAAGAGTTTCCAGCAGAGTATCCTAGGCCTCTTTCAGGCCTGGTTTGCTTAATGATGTTTTATTTAGGGCTTTATATGCTCATTATAATCCTCCCCCTCCCTCCCTGTGCTTCACATCCCCCACCTCTAAGTAGCTCAAGGCAAATTAACCAAGAAAATCATTAAATGTTATTTTTTTTTTATTTCAGCACATTATGGGGGTACAGATGTTTAGGTTATGTATGTTTCCCTTACCCCCCATTAAATGTTATTTCTTGTAATATTAATCTCAGTTGACATTAATTATGCTCAATATTGTAGCAATTGCTTCTTATAAATATTTAATCCTCACAGTAACGCCAATAGGTTAGATACTATTATTGTCTCTATTTTGACAGATTAAGAAACTGAGACACAGAAAGGTTAAGTCATCTACCCAGTATCACACATTTAATTTGTGGCAAAGCCAAAATTAGGGCAAATGCAAAGCCCATACCCTGAAGCACAACTCCTGTGAGGAGAACACTTGACTGGTGAGGATTCTCTCAGTGGGGCTTTATTACCACTAGAGGGAGGTAGAGAACTACTCTGCTTTGGGGTAAAGGAAGGAAAAATAAAATGCCTGAAAAAGAGGACAGAAAAGAACATCTGCCCAGAAAGATAAGCCTTGTATGGTGAGGGGCTGCAGCACTTTACATACTATTTCCAAATGAAAATTGAAATAGTGAGGACGCTTCCCTCTCCTATGCTTTTGTATTGAGTAGGAGATTCTGATTCATTAGAAATATGTCATACCTAACTTTTTTTTAAAACAACTTGAAGAAATAGAGTGTCTTCTGGGGTTGGTGAGATTTGGGGTTTCTTTGATCTTTTATTAAAGATGAAATGGAGGCAGGGGAGTAGTAGGAGAAAATGATCCATAAAATGTTCCAGATAGAGAAACTTCAGTCTGAACACAGTTGGGCAACATTTGAAAGGCTTTGAATGCACTGGTACAAGGCTATAGCATTGTGAACTGGTTCTCCTTTCTGTACTTCTCATGGCTGTGGTTTTTGACCAGGTCCTCAACACCAGACCATGTGGACCGCAAATGAGATTGCTCAACTGTGCTACGAGCACTATGGGATCAGGCTGCCTAAGCAGGGGAAGCCTGAGCCAAACCGTGAGTGGACATTATTGGCAGCCGTGGTAAAGATACAATCTCCAGTTGTCCAGGCCTACAACACTCCCGATAAGCCAACGCAAGGTGAGACTTCTTCCTGGAACACTCCTCCTTCCTTTCGGAGATGGAAGAAATTGTACACTGCTATACTTGGCAGGGACTGTCATGGCTAGGATTTAAGCTAAGATGTTAGGCATATTTCCTCTCTTTCCACCAGGTGGCGCAGTACTTCTGGTGGTGGGAGACCACCGTGCAGGAACCTCAGTCCTCTGTTGAGTCGACCTGTGGGAATCCATTGGAGGAGTGTGCAGACAGATTTAAACTCAGCGCTGGGGAACATTCAGCCTCTGAGAGCCCACCTAATGATTTATTTTTTTCCCCTCAGTGACAAAGGAAGTTGTCTCAGTGGGAACAGGAACGAAATGCATAGGCCAGTCCAAAATGAGGAAGAGCGGTAAGCATCGGTGGGGGTCTAAGCAAAGATTTAGCTTTGGAAACCAATGTCCATGTTAACCTTTACTCTCCTTGTCTGGGAAAAGGGGCCATATCGGCTGAGATGGCTGACCTTTCATTTTCTACTGACTATCACTCTACTTAGAAGGACAGTATTCATTTAGAACATGCTTTTTTTTTTCTTTTTTTTTTTTTTTTTTTTGAAATGGGGTCTCACTCTGTGGCCTAGGCACAATCATAGCTCAATACAGCCTGGAACCCCTGAGTTCAAGAGATCCTCTTACCTCTGCCTCCCTAGTTGCTGGGATTGCAGGTGTGAGCCACAGTGCCGGGCTCAGAGCATACTTTCTGAATAAAGTAAAAGCTAGCCAGTATTTTCATCCTCTTGGCCTTAAGTATTCCATATTAGGTCTGGAAGGCTTTGAGGGCTCTAAAGCAGGTAGAGGACGCAGCTTGAGTAGCTTCTGAAGCCCTGGCAAGTAACCTTGAATTAAAGGGAGCTTTTGGCACCAAGAAAGATATGGAAATCCCTTAGAGATCAGGGATCCTTACCTCTGCTTCCAGTTAGCAGGTTCTTCTTTGAGTTTGCTTCCCCCATCCTCCTAGCCTTGCCTCCTGTGAGGAAGTTGTTCCAGGACCACTGTGGATGGAATTGTATTGCCATGAGCACAAGTATTATATCAGGATACAAAAGATCTGGACTCCTGTCCTCCAGATAAAGATTTTTCTATAAATCAGTGATTCTCAACTGGGGGCAATTTTGTACCCCAGGGGATGTTTGGCAATGTCTGGAAACATTTTTAGTTGTCACAACTGGGAGATGGGTGCTGCTGGCGTCTCGTGGGTAGAGGCCAGGAAAGCTGCTAAACAGCCTACAATGTACAGGAAAGACCCCCACAACAAAGAATTTTCTGTTGTAAAATGTCTACAGTGCTGAGTGGAGAAATCCAAATCCTCCTGTAAATACATCGTCATTAATGATTGTGATACTTTCTGACAAAGCCGTCTAGGAGCTACGTGCCCATCCTGGGTCTGGGGGGACTGCTGTGTTCTGCTTCTAGGAACGATGGCCTCTCCAGCTTCCATAAATCTTAATGTGCTGTCCTGTCTTTGCCACAGGAGACATACTCAATGATAGCCATGCTGAGGTCATAGCCAAGAGGAGTTTCCAAAGGTAAAGCCACATCCCCAGAGAGTCTGATTCAGCAGATCTGGGGCACAGGCCCCAGAATTTGCATTTCTAATAAGCTCCCAGGTGACACAGATTATGTCAGTCTGTGAGCTACACTTTGAATAGCACTGTGGTCTAGATAAGTGGTTCTCAAACTTGAGTGTGCATCAGAATCACCTGAAGGACTTGTTAAAACCCAGATTGCTGGGCCCACCTGCAGAGATTCTGATTCAGCAGATCCAGGGTGGAGCCTGAGAAATTGGATTTCTAACAAATTCCCAGGTGATGCTGCTGCAGGGACCATACTTGGAGACTCACTGGTCTAGATCATTCTTGTAATTCTAAATTACTACCAATCCCATTAGTCCACCATAACTCTTTCTTAGTAATCACTCAACCAGAATCTTTACCACAGAGATTGGTTATTCATTCTGTTAACCTCTTGGAACCCTTAGGTACCTTCTCCATCAGCTCCAGTTGGCAGCCACCCTGAAAGAGGATAGTATCTTTGTCCCAGGAACGCAAAGAGGACTGTGGAAACTCAGATCAGACCTCTTCTTTGTGTTTTTCTCCAGCCATACACCCTGTAAGTATATTCAAGCCTTTAGATTACCGTTGCATGGACTACTTTCTTAACATTTGTCTCATCTATAGAGATGTTTCTCAAAAACACTTCTGGCTGAAGTGTAGCTACATTTGTTGACAGTGCCCTCTTATGGACAGGCTGGTGTACCTAGTTACTTATCTACTAAGGGGAAAGCAGAGGGTGGAGGTGGGGGGGTGCATAGTATCACTCGTGCTATTACTCACTTCTCAGAATCAGGATTAGGAAGCTTAAGGCTGAAAGCCGACAAGATGTGAAACCAACAATGGGGCTTAGAAGTCCAAAGTCCTACTATGGTAACTTACCCTAAAATTCATTTCATTCATTCATTCCTTGAACAGATATTTTCTTTTCTTTTCTTTTCTTTTTGAGACAGAGTCCCTGGGCTAGTGTGCTTTGGCATCAGCCTAGCTCACAGCAACCTCAAACTCCTGGGCTCAAGCGATCCTCCTGCCTCAGCCTTGCAAGTAGCTGGGACTACAGGCATGCACCACCATGCCTGGCTAATTTTTTCTATTTTTAGTAGAGACGGCGTCTCACTCAGGCTGGTCTTTAACTCCTAACCTCAAGCAATCCTCCCGCCTCGGCCTCCCAGAGTGCTAGGATTACAAGTGTGAGCAACTGAGCCTGGCTGGAACAGATATTTTCTACTACTTGTCAGGCACAATATGACATACTGATTACGTAACAGCGAATAAGACTAGCATATTGCTTACCCTCATAGAGTCAATGTAGGCAGTCATGCTTAAGGTAAATTTTGTTGAGTGATAAGAGCATGGTCCGGTGCTGTGGTTGCCTAAAGCAGGAAGACCAGACCTAGCCTAAGGGGTCATTTCTATCGTCTGTTTTTCAATTTCTTGAAAATTAAAAATAATTCCTACCTTTTGTAGACAACTCAGATGACAGCAAAATTTCCTTACCCTAAAAACTTTGAAATAAGATATCAGATTGTCCTCTGATTATTAAACTTTAGCACATGCAATTAGAGAAGAGGTAGGTAATCACTGTAAAGAAACAATAGCTGTCAAGATTTGATTCTAACTGAAATTGAAAATATTGATATAGCTTAAGAAAGAGTGAATATAGGAAAAGAACTGGTTAAGAGTTGAAGACCAGAAAAATGACAGACAGAGGTAGGCAGGGCTTATTCATGCTCCATTCTTAGCAGTGGTGCCTTGGTCCAAGGGCCAGAGGATGTTTCCCAGTCACTGCTTCTCAAACTATAATATGCACATGAATCACCTAGGGAGCTTGTTAAAATACAAATTCAGATTCAGTAGGTCTGGAGTAGGGCCTGAGGTTCTGCATTTCTAATCAACTGCCAGGGTATGCCAGAGGTGCTGGTCTATGGACCACACTTTGAGTAGCCAGGGCCTGGGTGATCCCAGTGACAGGCATTGCCTTATTGTGGAGACAGATGTATCCAGGGATCACAGAGGAGTCTGATAATCAGACTCCATAAATCAGTGGTCCACAGATGGGTGCCGATCTGTGAGAAGAGTCCATGAAGAAATGAGAAAAATCAAGACTCATGAGTTTTTCAAAACTAATTTCTTTCAATGTAAAGATTATGAGATTTTCTTTTTTTTTTCTAATGATGGTAATTTGGATTTTTGAAGATCTTACTTGGTGGAATAAAAAGTTGGCAACCCTCCATTCATCCTAAAATCTTCTGGAAATTTTGCTGGTAATCTTGTAAAATGTAATGTCTCTCATGGTTTATCTGCAGAAAGAATGCTACCTAGAGAATGTGACTCTCTGGTTCCCTTGGCATTTACTCTCATTATTAATTAATAACTTGGTGCCTGGGTTTGCTACTTCGTACTCTTTCTTGTGAGTTATTAGCATGAGTCAGCCTCTCAAGTTGGGGCATTCTGTCAAGATCGTATCTCTGAGCCTGCAGAGTGGGAGGTGGACCCTGGTGAATTCTCCAAAGTCACTGTCACCTTGTGAGGTCTCTGGAAGTTAGCCAGCCAGCCTTTCTAGCAACATTCCCGCTTCTATATCTCTTGCCTTTCCCACTCTTAGGTTATAAAGATTACAGATGTATTATTTACTCACTTTAGAAAAGCAACACACATTAAGTTAGTATTTGAAGAAATAGCTCTCTTCTCAAGGGCGAGCTGTGCTTTTTACTGACCTCTGGTTTTCTTTGGTTTCTTATAAGCATAGAGCAGATCAGAAATTGCTAAACTAGCACAGGGGAGCATTAGTTTAGACTAGGTATGTAATTTATAGCAGTCTTTAGGGCTGTGCATCATAAAAATATTCAAAATGGGGACATTTTAAGCAATACCAAATTTATTTAACTATGAAACAAACCACCTACTTTTGTTTTCCAAGGCATCTTATGGAATAGCATTCCACAAAATGCACTTGGGAAGCCCTGCTCATTCTAAACCAGTGGTTCTCAACTAGGGACAGTTTTATTCGCCAGGAGACATTTGGCAACATCTGAAGGCATTTTGATTGTCATAGTAGGGGGTATTATTGGTATCTAGTGGGTAGAGATCAGGGATACTGCTAAATGTACTATGATATGCGGGACAGCCCCCACAGCAAAGAATTATCTGGTCTAGGGCTGGGCACAGCGGCTCACGCCTGTAATCCTAGCACTCTGGGAGTCCAAGGCAGGAGGATCACTTGAGGTCAGGAGTTCGAGACCAGCCTGAGCAAGAACAAGACCCCTGTCTCTATTAAAAAAAAAAAAAAAAAAAGAATTGTCTGGTCTAAACTGTCATTAGTGCAGTGGTTGAGAAACCCTGGTCTAAACCAGTATTTTCAAAGCTTCCTAGTGGTAAAAATTACCTGGGACCTTTGTTAAAATATTTAGTTTTCTAGACCCTTCTCCTCCGGAAATTCCAACTCACTGGGTCTGGGCGTGGAGTCTTCAACATAGAGCTCCAGAGGATTCTTATTAGGGAAATTTGGGCCTGTGATCTTAATTCATCTCAGGTCAGCTGGGGAAATAGGTTGATCTTTGTTTAGGGCAGTAGTTCTCAAACTTGAACTTGCGTCACAGTCACCTGGAGAGCTTGTTAAAGCACAGACTGCTGGACTCTACCTCCAGAGTTTCTGATTCAGCAGGTCTACTGTGGGTCCCAAGAATTTGTATTTCTAATCAGCTCCTAGGAGATGCCACTGTGGCTGGTCCAGGAGCCTCACTTTGAGAACCACTTGTTTAAGGGGTTTATCCTCCTGCAGGTGGGGATGCCTCCATCATTCCGATGCTTGAGTTTGAAGATCAGCCTTGCTGTCCTGTCAGAGATTGGACCAAGAACCCATCAGTAGAAGCCAGTAGTAATTTGGAACCTCCTGAAAATAAACAGAAATATAAAGACCTTGACAGTCCTGTAACCAAAAAGATGAGGCTTGAGCTTGGAACTCCTGACAGGGAGGTTGCCAACGGTGCAGCTGACCATCGGAGTTTTGGCAAACAGCAAAGTGGCCAAATCCCACCAGGTGTCAGCAGCTCAAACCTCACCGTAAAGGGACTGGCCTCTGTCACCAGAATAGCCCTCTGTGGGGCCAAAGTGGTGGACGTTCATAGAACCGGAGCCAAGTGTGTGCCTGGAGAAGCTGGAGACTCAGGGCAGCCTGGTGCTGCATATCACCAGGTGGGGCTGCTCCGAGTAAAGCCAGGCCGGGGAGATAGGACTCGCTCCATGTCCTGCAGTGACAAGGTGGCCCGATGGAACGTCCTTGGATGCCAAGGGGCACTGCTCACACACTTTCTGGAAGAGCCCATCTACCTGAAAGCTGTAGTCATTGGGAAGTGCCCATACAGCCAGGAGGCCATGCAGAGAGCACTGATTGAGAGGTGAGAGGGCGGGGAGAGAGGGTTGAGTTGGAACAGTCATTCCCAGAGGCAGTCTGAGAGTATGTCCAAAGAGCCTTAAAAATCTCCATACCTTTGGATCCAGCAGTTCTACTTATAAGAATTTTTTCTAAGGAAATAATTAAGAGAGTATTCAAACATTTAGCTTTGTGTATAGTAATTTAAGAAAAGAAAAAGGGGCCGGGCACGGGCCGGGCCTCACGCCGGTAATCCTAGCACTCTGGGAGGCCGAGGCGGGTGAATCGCTCAAGGTCAGGAGTTCGAGACCAGCCTGAGCAAGAGC